CTTTTCAAATTTACCCCACTGGAATTAATAATTATTCAAAGTGTGCATACATATTTTGCGACACTCTATATCTTAATGATAAATTTAACTTCATAAAAATTTAAATTTCTCTTCTTCAGAAAGTGCTAAGAAAAAAAAAGGCAAGGCAAGACTAGAAAAACATATTTAAAATACATATTTTATAAAGGACTTATTCAAAATAAAGGTCAAATGCTCAAAATTATGTAGAAAATGTGAAGCAAAAAACCACAATTACAATAGAAACTACTACATACTAATAGAAAGTCTAAAATTAACAAAAAACTAGCACCATCATGTGTTGCTGAGATGTAAAGCACACTTTCAAACATGGCTGATGTAAATGAAAATTGGGAAAGCCACATTAGAAGACACTTTGGCAGCTCCTCATACAGTTAAATATACATTTACATTATGACCCAGCAACTCTACTGCTTGGTATTTGTCCCAAACAAGTGAAAATGTACATCTACACAAAAACTTATTTTATATGAATGTTCATAGTAGCTTTATTCTGTTTAGCATAGCTTTACTCATGATAGTTGAAATAAATGCTTGAACAACTTAAGTGATTATTTCAAGACTTACTTCAAAGATACAGTAAGCAAGATTGTGTAGTATTGGCTTAAGACACATTAACCAATGGAGCATAAAAAAAAAGGGTCCCCTATGGTCATATATGGTAGGATATCCAAACAATGAAGGGGTCCCCTGTGGCCATATCTTGGTAAGATAGCCCAACAATGAAATACTATCTAGTATTAAAATGGAACAAACTTCAGGTATCCTATAAAATAAAACCCTAATATGCAAATCGACCAAATGGTGGAATGACCGGTCACTATGATGCACACTGACCAGCAGGGGTTGGATGCTCAATGCAGGAGCTGCCCCTAGTGGTCAGTGCACTCAGACAAGGGGAGTGCCACTCAGACAGAAGCCGTGGCAGGCGGGTGGTAAGGAGCAAGGGGTCCGAGACTGTGAGAGCCCCTGACTATGAGAGGGGTGTCTGACTGCCGACTTAGGCCTGATCCCCCTAAGCCAGTAAGCTGACATCCCCCAGGGAGTTCCAGACTGCGAGAGGGCATGTGTATAAATGTGTGTGTAATCTATATATATACTACCTCAACACTGCTGACAAAAAAAATTCAATATTCCCTTTATGTGGAATAAATTTATATACACCAGTCTATATATACAATAACACTGCAAAGTAGGCTATGAGAAATAGGTAATTTTGAATTATAAATGAAACTCAAAATTACCTAACTTGATCTATTTATTTTACAGAAGTTTACATTATTTATTTCTGATATTTAGAAAGGTTAGGTCATTAATGGACACCTGACTTATGACTCTTAGGTCAAAATCCTTCCTAGTTAACCTTGCATTTATAAACATGTGTCACTGAATTCTCATGATAATCCCAGGAGGTGCTGGGTTATATATTTATTATCTCTGTTATGGATGAGACAACACCAGGCAGACAAATGAGGAAGGTTAATTTTGCTACATTAATCCTCTCATTACAAAATTATACTATTGTAACTAGCAATTATACCAGTGTCATGATCATACTGATTAACCAAATAAAAGAACAAAAGTCTAAATCAGAAAGTATATTGCTGAGCTATTTTTAAATTAACTAAGAGAAAGAGTTAAATGTAGAGTACTCAAGCTAGAATTGATAAATTAGAAGTATTTTGAGATCCCTAGCTTTTAAATATTGAATAAAATGAAGCTTCAAACTGCTCAGAAAATATGCCTGGATTTCTACTTATTGCACAGACTTATTTATTTTTACTGATTTTTAGAAATTGAGGAACATCAATGATGAGAGAGTTTTATCCATTGGCGGCCTCCTGCACGCCCCCTACTGGGGATCAAGCCCAAAACCTGGGCATGTGCCCTGAAGGTGACATTTTGGTTCATGGATGGATGCTCAATCACTGAGTGATACAGGCCAGGCTGCACAGACTAATTTAAAAAGTTCTATATATCTACACACTGAGGGTACATATCACAGTAAGTCTGACAACTCAGTAATCTAAGTCGTCTTTTCAGTATAATTTTCTACAAGAAATCACATTTAGGATTTTCTAATAAATTCACTTATGCTCATTGACTTAAAAACTTGTAACTGACTACTATGTCACATAATCCCAATAAAAGAGTAATATGCAAATTAACCATCACTCAGCTGCACCCACAGGTCACATACACCAGCCAATCAGGAGCGAGTATGTAAATTAACCCAACCAAGATGACTTCGACCACGGAGCGAGCAGGAGGCTTGGGTTTCCCCAGCAATGGAGGAAGCCAAGCTTTCTGCACACCCAGACCAGCCCAGGCCTCCACACAAGGCTACCAAGTTTCAATTATAGAAGATAAATAAATCCCAACAAAAATGGCTACTGCCATGGAGGGAGCAATATGCTTGGCTCTGCTCAAGGCTACAGTTTCAATTGTAGAAGGTAAATAAATTCCAACAGAAATGGTGGCAGCCACTGAGCTGGAAGAGTAGGAAGCTAGGGTTGCCCCAGGTGATGGAAGAAGCCAAGCTTCTGCAGCACTGGCCATCTTAGGCCTTCATTCCAGGCTACAAAGTTTCAATTGTAGAAGGTAAATAAACCTCAGATACCAGGGCCTCCTCTTGGGTTGCCAGGGGGCGTGGCTGGCCTGCAAACCACCACAGGCCCCGTGTCCAGGCTGCCCCATGTCCCAAGGGAACCCCTACCCTGATCTGGGACACCCTTCAGGCAAACCAGCTGGCCCCCAGCCGTGCACCAGGCCTCTATCCTATCTAATAAAAAAATAATATGCAGACTGACTATCACGTCAACACACAAGATGGCTGCCCCCATGTGGTCAAAGATCCTGCCCCCATGTGGACACAAGATGGCCACCACAAGATGGCTAGCAGGGGAGGGCAGTTGTGGGTGATCAGGCTGGCAGAGGAGGGAAATTGGGGGTGACCAGGCCTGCAGAGGGCAGTTGGGGGGTACCCAGGCCTTCAGGGGAGAGCAGTTAGGAGTGACCAGGCCTGCAAGGGAGGCAATTGGGGGCGATCAATCATGCAGGGGAGGGCAGTTGGGGGCAATAAACCATGCAGGGGAGGGCAATTAGGGATGACCAGGCCGGCAAAGGAGGGAAGTTGGGGGCAAACAGGCTGACAGGGGAGCAGTTAGGCATCAATCAGGCTGGCAGAGGAGTGGTTAGGGGGTGATCAGGCTGGCAGGTAGAAGAGGTTAGGGGGAATCAGAAAGGCAGGCAGGTGAGCAGTTGGGAGTCAGCAGTCCTGAATTGTGAGAGGGATGAACGACTGCCCGTTTAGGCCCAATCCTACCAGGACTGGATCTAACTGGGCAGTTGGACATTTCTCAAGGGGTCCCAGATTGGAGAGGGTGCAGGCTGGGCTGAGGTACACACACACTCCCATACATGAATTTCGTGTACCAGGCCTTTAGTATATAGATAATGTCCTATGAAATTCAAATAAACAGACATGCTGCTATTTTTTGGCTAATTAAATCCTACATACAAATATAATCATATTGCATATTTACCAAGTGAAAATCATGTGAAAGAAATCATTAGAGGCCCCCAGGTTCACATTACTTCAGAATATTCAGAATGGTTATTATGTATTTAAAGTAAGTAAGTAAAAGCACTCTTTTATTTCTTCAGTTGATATTTAATTACAGTTGATATTGAATGTTATTTTATATTAGTTTCAGGTATATAGCATAGTGGTTTGACATTTATATAATTTATGAAGTGATCCCTGATACATAGTTATCACAGTACTAGAGGCCCAGTGCACAACATTCATGCATCGGGGGTGGGGAGGGAGGGTCACCTCAGCTGGGCCTGTGCCGGCTGCGCCCGGGACCCTTTGGGGGATGTCTGCCTGCCAGCTTAGGCCCAATCGTCCCTCCCTCCTTACTTCCTGCCTGCTCGCTGCTCCTTATTGCTCAACTCGCTGCTCCTTATTGCTAGACTCGCTGCTCCTTAGCGCTGCCTCAAAGGCAGGAGCTCCCGCCACTGCCACTGCGCTTGCCAGCCAGGAGCCCGGCTTCTGACTGAGCAGCACTCACCCTGTGGGAGTGCACTGGCCTCCCGGGGCAGCTCCTGTGTTGAGCATCTGCCCCTGATAATCAGTGCGCATCACAGCAACCAGTTGTTCTGCCATTTAGTGTATTTGCATATAAGCCTTTTATTATATAGGATTATTGACTATCTTCCCTGAGGAATATGTGACTATTTTCTGACTACTAATTTCTATTCTTAATCCCTTCAAGTTTCTCACCCAATCCCCCATCATCCCTCCCATCTGCCAACTATCAGTTTGTTCTCTGTATCTATGAGTCTGTTTCTGTTCTATTCACTATTTTGATCTTTTGGATTCCAACTAAGTGAAAATCACATAGTATTTAAAACTAGCTAGTATTCTTATGTAACTCAATGTTATTAACTATATGATAAATTTTCTTAGTAAAAGAACACTAAATGAGGAGACAAAGTCAAAATATCTGAACTACAAAATTTATTTTCTGTCACAGAAGAAATAATGTAACTTCTCTGTACTTAGGTTTGCTTAGTTTTAAATATATATACATAGAGAAAAGCACAGAGATTGGAGAGTGTAAGGCATGGTGCAGGCATAAAAAAGGGAAATGTGTTAAAAGTGCCAACATCAAAAGAGGCATGTTTGGGTTATTAAACTGTTTGTATGCTAAAATGAAATATTAAAATATAAATTTCAGTTTTTATTTTATTACATTTCAGTAATATTGTTTTCAGTATTTAATCTGTAAAGACTGTCACTCAAGAAATTACATCAAAAAAAGCACAAACTTTAATAAAAAAGAGATTACCTTTATATAAGTAACAAATAAAGAGCAATCAAAGTCAGATTCCTTCATTCTTTCTCGATTTCTGACTGAACATGGAAGATGAGGGGTGGGAGACAAGAAACTCACCTTTGCCTGCAGGCTGAGGCACTGCAAATCCAGGCAATAAGAAGGGTGCCCCTGTGGTAATACCAGCTGGTTTCAGTTCACTGACACCGTAGGTTGTTAGGGACGTTATCAGATTAACCAGATCTTTCAAGGCATCTTTGGATTCTGCCTCTTTTGCTTGTTCCAATCTAGGAAGAGTAGGATTTAGCAAATATTTTTTTTGTTATATTCTCAAATTTAATACAGAAATATTCAATATTTATATGCCGTAAATAAATGTATCAAGTGCTCCAAAAGGTATCTTCTTGCATTTTTTTCCATATTAAAACACATTTTTTAGAATCTACAAATTTTAAGACATTATGGTGTATTTGGAAAAATACCCCAACAGTTTGAAGACCTGATTGGTATCAGTGCTGATTTTGCCACTAGCAGTCGTGCTATTTTAAGTAAATCATTGATCTTTGATAGAAAGTGTCTATAAAATAATTAGATTAAATATCTCTTAATTTCCCTTAAGATCTAAGATAATAAAGTTTCACTGTTTACAAGCAAAACCCTTATTAACTATTTCTTTCCTAAGATATTTTCTCTGCTAACAATTTTAAAAAATGAATTTCTTAGGGAGCATTCTAACACTTCATCTGTATTTCATTAATTCAGGTATCCTATTAGAGGGCATTTAAATAAAGTTCTGAGAGGCTAACGATTTTTTTAAAAAAATCTTAATTACTTTAGAGCAGTGTTTTTCAACCTTTTTTGGGCAAAGGCACACTTGTTTCATGAAAAAAATCACGAGGCACACCACCATTAGAAAATGTTAAAAAATTTAACTCTGTGCCTATATTGACTATATATAAAGTAATTCTCTTGAATAGGAATCAAATAAACTCAAAGAAAGTATTTTATAATTACTTTATTATGAAATATTAAGTAAACAGGATAGTGAAAAATTATAAAATTCTTGTCTTGTCTGCACCTACGGCACACCAGGCAACATCTGTGCCGCGGAACAGCAGTTGAAAAACGCTGCTTTAGAGGAACATTAGAGTCATTGTAGAATCATCATCTGATTGTGGCTTTACTGAGAACACAAAATGGGGTGCAAAATATAGTTTTTAAAGAATAAGATTTATCGGGGAACCTGCCAATAGAACTAATTACTCAGATTAAAATAAACTTGGAGGATGCACAAAATTAGGAAAAAAAAGAAAAGAAAAAGTATGCTTAGCCTAACACTTGAAGACATGTTAATATTCTGATATTTTTTTTAAACTTGTCTTTTTTAATGTGGAAGTTTTGTTTTAATCGTTATTTTCATACTATATGTAGAATTTTATAACCTGTTTTCCCCCTCACATTTTCTAGTGTTATCCAGGTTTCTCTATGTTAGTATAAACTCTCCATACATATGATTTTAATGGTTATGGAGAACCAACCACTGATTTGGGGAGAGGGAAGTGGGACAGCTAGTGAAACACAGAGTAAAGAAGCACTAACATACAGAAAATGGCATCTAAACTTAAGATTATATCTTTAGGATACAATCTTAAGAGACATTACTGTGTCAAAATAGTGGTTATTTTGAGGCTTTTGATAATATCTGGTCAACCTGTGTTCTCAAAGGTTTGTAGCAATTAATAAACTCTTAGTAATATGAAATAGTTATTTCATCAATTTTCAGATGTCCTCATTTATAAATTATGATATATATGCAAAATTATATTGGGGTTTGCCTAGTATTAAGTAATAGTATTTTGTAAATAAAATGTTTAAAAAATAGTGCTCGTTTACAATACATCAAATGCCTTAAAAATAAAGATGACCCAGGGCACAACTAATGAGGCATGAATATCTTTTTCCTAGAATATTTGTAATCAGTCACTTTCCATGTATGCATGGAACATCTGATATGGAAAAGGGGGTAGTTAAACATTTTAGGTTAACTACTTTGTTTTATATATACATTTGTAAGGTCTCACTCAATCTAAATATTCTTGTTATTAACTACATTAATAACAACCCTGAATTACTAAATAAGAAAAACTAAAAATATAATTAAGCAGCCGGGACCGGTTTGGCTCAGTGGATAGAGCATCGGCCTGCAGACTGAAAGGTCCCGGGTTCGATTCCGGGCAAAGGCATGTACCTTGGTTGAGGGCACATCCCCAGTAGGGGGTGTGCAAGAGGCAGCTGATCGATGATTCTCTCTCATCGATGTTTCTAACTCTCTATCCCTCTCTCTTCCTCTCTGTAAAAAATCAATAAAATATATTAATATATATATATATATTTAAGAAAGAAGAGTTTACACTTCAGGAATATTTTGATTAATTCATCTAAGTTTTACTTCTTTAGATACTAAAGATTTATTCTTCACATCTAACCACTGATTCTCCCATGTTTACAATCTCCAATTTACCAATTTAATTCCAAGTTCACTTTATGTATGCTATTTGCAGAAGAGGAATAAAAACAAGTGATTAAAACCAAGAGTAGATAAAGAATATATTAAATAAGTGTCTGATTCCTTTTTCCCTAACCATCTATATATACTATATATATATATATATATATATATATATATATATATATATATATATAAAAGCAACCATCTGACTGGTAGCTATGACAAGCACTGACAACCAGGGGGCAGATGCTTAATGCAGGAGCAGAAGCCACAGGCATCAAAACTTGGAACAGACTGATGAATCCCAGAGGGAAGGCGGGAGGGTGGAAAGTGGGAAGAGATTAACCAAGGATTTTATATGCATACTAGAGGCCTGGTGCACAGATTTGTGCACTGGTGGGGTCCCTTGGCCTGACCTGTGGGGATCAGGCCAAAAGTGGCTCTCCAACATCCCCTGAGTGTCCCAGACCAAAGAGGGTACAGGCCAGGCCAAAAAACCCCCACCACCAGTGCATAAATCCGTGCACTGGGCATCTAGTCAACTCTATTGTTTCTTTTGATGAAAAAGACTGAGTAGACATTTAAAATATATTCTTGAAATGTGAGGTTTTACCTAAGCAAGAGGTCACAAAGGAAAATATATCCTTGCCATATCCGAAAATCATCCAAAAGAGTTTGGGAAACATCACTGGAATCTTTGAGGAAACAAGAAAGCCCAGCAAACATTTCAACAATTTCAAGGGGAGATAGGTCATCTGATTGCTGCATATTCTGAACACACGTAGATAAACATTCTTTTTCTGTAAGAATAAATAAATAATAAATATGCATTATTTATGGCAACTGCTTAAGAAAACTTTGTTTCTGAGTAAGTATTTAATGAAACATTAAATTTAAATTATCTATAAAATACTGTAAGATAAACGTTATACTTTCTAAAAGTAAATGTAAGACTCAAATTCATTGGGAAAATTCTGCCTCTATTGAGCAAACAAAGAGTAATAAAGGAAGTGTTGAAAAGTAGTTGACATTTAATATAGTTTTTAAATCATTGTTTGGATGTTTTATTATCAAACAAAATGAGTGCCTACTGCCAAATTATATTTTTGATCTTTGATATTAATACAGTAAAAAGATGAAAAAAGTAACAAACTGTTTTTAAGTTTAAGAATACAAATCTAATAATTACTTTAAAGCTCAAATTAGAGTAAATCTAGACCAATGAGATACAGAACTACTAAAGGAAACATAATTTTAAAAATTATGTTTGTAATATACTGTATATTACTAATTTAAAACAGTTATACTCCAACATTTCATCTCTTATCTTTAATGAAATTTATTTGTCTAAAGAAACCCAGTTTCACATAACAAAAGCTAAAAAGATTTAACATGTGAACACAAAACTTGTATTAAAATTGAATAATTACATAAAAATAAAATTGTCTTAACTCTTATACATATCCATCATTTGTAAGAAATTTCTTAAATTTGAAATGCTTCACAACAGAAAAATAAATATTTTTTTTTCTCTTGGCAACTTTCACTTTTAATCATTGGTTGACTGATTTAGAGAGAGAAGAGGGAAAGAGAGTTGGGGGGGGAGGAGGAGAGAGAAAGACAGAATGAGAAACATAGACCTGTTCATCCTATTTATTTATGCATTCATTGGTTGATTCCTGAACATGCCCTGACTGGGGATTAAACCTACAACCATGGCATACCCAGAGGATGCTCCAATCAACTGAGCTACCTGGCCAGGGGCTGGCAAATGAAGTTTTTAATTTAAAGAATCATCTTTGGAAAATTGAGCGATTAAAATAAATCTGTCATCATATGAGGAAGAGAAAAGTGAAAGAAATGTAGAGCACCTAGAATGAATAAAGAGTTATTCACCATGGATATACTTCACTACATTGACACTAAGACCGTGACGGGATATGGTCATAAGGACTTCTCCAGCACTCTTCCTCCAAGGCAGGTTATAAGGCGGGCACCAAGAGGTTATTGCACTGAATAAAAGCTGGAGATCATCTTTCTGAGCCAGCTCCTCCGCCGGGGAAACAAAACTGCAGAGTTTCACTAAGATCTAGACAAAACAAAACAAATGTGTGTATAAATGAAAGGTTGGGGAAGGGAGGACTCAGAAAAGGACCAGGTCTGACCATTAAAGATTCTGAAAGTTCAGGGTTAGTATGAGCAATACCATTAAAGCCACAATGATGAGCTCTCTAACTTAGACAGCATTAACAAAAAAACAACTATAATTTAGAAGGGTGTTACAGTAAAGACAGTTACCCAGCCCTACTTTTATCAACTTATTAAAAATGTTCTATGTTTACTATTTTCTTTCATCATATATTTTTGTATACCTTGCCCTAAGTGGCATAAACCAACAATAACATTCAAAGTCAATGTTTCAGTTTTCTAGTTTAGTTCTTAAATTCTTAGTTTGTCATAGGTGAAATGCAATTTTCTTCTCTAAAAAGAACAGTTTTAGAGAGTTGAGAAAGTAAAAACAGTAAAACAAAAAGTATTTTCAAATTGTTCTAATTTCTAGTATACAGGTAGAAGGGGATATTACAATAATAAAATCATCTGAATTCATAAGTAACTTTTAATTATGTCTAGTAGCCAAAAATCTTCTTAAGCCTATCTTTCAAGGAAGATTCAAAAAACTTCTTAAACTCTGGAATGAGTATTTTTTAATTATGAATTACAAAATACATAGTACTCTGGTATTCACAGCATTAAAAGCCTGTTACTTGGGGGAATTTAGCTATGGTTTCCACTCTCAAAGAATTTTGTTCTTCTAATCTAAATTCAGTCGCAGGAACAGTTATCTTTCCTTCTCTGTGGTACATTTTCTCATCTAAATATTTTTTAAAATATATGTTAATAAGTATAATTTATGAAATAATTTCATTCAACTGAAAGTGCTTCATGAAATCTGAGTATTTCATTATCTGTACAGCCTAGGGAATATAATCACTAATACTGTGATATCTATATAGAGTGCCAGGTGGGTACTGAAAATATTGGAGATAGGAGACACTCTGCAAAGTATATGACTGTCTAACCACTATGCTGTATACTTGAAACTAAAACAAAATAGTATGAAAGTAAACTGTAATTGAGAGTTTGCAAAGAAATATTTGAAATGTAATGGTTTGTCTGAGAAAGGTAGGTCTTGCTTTTCCTATTCTCTTCAATGCAAAAATCTAATTAAATACAAGAGCTTTCTAAATCATAGATGCCAAATATCAAGAAGATAAAAAAGGATTAGGAATTCAGACAAAAACAAAATATAAAACCAGTAATATAGGCACCTCACTCACAAAATAATGCCTGGAGATACTGTAGAATATTTAATGCCCATTAATATGTGTAATATGTATATATTTTCCCATATGTATCAAATAAAACATAAAGCTAAAATGGGGGGGGGGGAAAGATAGTTAATTGCAACAAAGACATATGCTCAGAAGAGTGTATTATTGATTTTACTTTTCTTGGGTTCTCACATTACCCTGTCTGAGAGGGATGAACATAATTTCTCTAATTTGCTAAAAATGAAATGCTTATTTCTAGATCAATTCTGTATTCTCAAAAATAAAATGGATTTAATTTCTTAAAGTTATTGACTCTTAAGATAATAGGTTCTTAATCTATAAAGGCAAAAGTATTCTTACAAATATCTAATACAATCCTTTCTCTTGACAAACAAGAAAACTGAAGGCCTATGTCTCCTCCCTCTTTGTCCAGCACTACAATTTCTATTTGTGGGGACTCTGTCACAAAGTCCAGCCACTTGTGGCAGAGCAATAATTGGCTCCATCAATGAAAATGAAAAAAAAACAAAACAAATCAAACAAAAACCCACCACAAAAACCAAGTGCCTACATGGAGCAATACCAACTGCTAAGGGCCCAGGAAACCATCTGTCACATAATATAAACATAGGAATTTAATCTATCAAAAACACTATGTGTTCTGAAAACATGTGGTAAGTTAGTTATTCTAGTCAAAATGATGACAACAATGTCCAGCCTGGGAAGAGAAACTAAAAAAGGAAGTGGCCTGATGCACTGAAGAAGCAAGGGGTGGGGGAGGGAGAGGAGTTGGGAGAGCCTGGTCACACCAGCCCATCCTGCTGAGAATCACAGCTGGGATACCATCTTTCTGTAAGTGAGGAGTTTCATTTAACTGCTCCCTTCAGGCCTTCACATTCTATGATTCCAATATGCCAAAATGAATCTTACATTTAGTTTAAAGCACCCACTGTTTTCAGGTGTAGAAAAATTTTAAGTTTTAGAAATTTTTGCTATACTTATTTTCTATTAAAAATATACAATTCTGGGGGTAGGAGTCAAACAGGGAAAAGGAAGACATATGTAAAACGTTAGACAATACACACATACACACATCCACACACACAATTCTGCCCTAGCTGGTTTGGCTCAGCAGTTAGAGTGTTGGCCTGTGGACCAAAGGGTCCTGAATTCAATTCCCTCATGGTCAAGGGTATGTATCGATATTTCGGTTGCAGACTCCTCCCCAAGCCTGGGGTCCTGGTCAGGGCTCATGCAGGAGGCAACCAAGTTTCTTTTCTATCTTTCCATCTCTCCTCCATTCTCCCTAAAAAAATCCCCTCAGGTGAGGATTCAAAAAGAGGGAAAAAACACACAATTCTGATTCCATTTATTGCCTTAAGCATTAATTCCCTCTTTAGAAGGGCTTTATTGAAACAGGGCAACTAATCTAATCAACACTGTCTAAAAATAGCTTTAATTCCCATCAGGGTTACTCATTCATTTACTCCCACTGCTTTTCTCATCCATTCTAATCCAGGAGTCACATTAACCTGCGTTCTAATCCTATTCTGCCATTTGCTCTCATTGCCATTTTGGGGGAAAACAACAATTCTGAAGTCATGAGCTATCTTGCAAATTATGAGGTAAGGGTTATTTAAGTTCATCACTAGCACAAAAGTATCTAATAAATCAAGTGCCCAGTAAATATTTGCTGAATTAGTATTTTATTATCCTGTCTTTTTCTTTTTAAAACTGCCTTAGGCTCCCACTCCCATCCTTTCATGGCTAGCAGCTCAACAGAGTACAGTCATTTCTGCAGTAAACACCCCAGTTACATGGGGTGTGATTGTCATCTGGACTTACTCTGCCTTACCTACTGCAGATGCACTATTCCACTTCCTGGTGGTGACAACAGCACAATCACAGATACTTTCATTTCATATCTACTCTCTCCTAAGGGAGAACTGTAGATTTGTGTTTTATTTCATTTAATTTTCACAAAAACCCTTTAGGTAGGTATCATTATCTTCATTTTACAGGTGAAAAATCTATATCTTAGGTGATATAATTTCAGAGAACTGACTACAAGCAGGAGTGCGGATTTTATTGAGGTGAAAACACATAACATACAATTTACCAACTTAATCATTTTAAAGTATAGAGTATAGTGGTGTTTAAGTATACTGTTACACAACACATCTTTAGAACACTGTTATCTTGCAAAACTGCAACTCTATACCAATTGAAAACAATCTGTTTCCTCACCATAACCCCTGCCAATCATTTTATTTTCTGAGTTTGACTCACTTTAGATTCATATAAGTGGAATTATTTGTCTTTTTGTGTGAAAATGTTTTTTAATACTATATTAGGTCCCCTGGGCACATTGTACTTGAAATGTTTGTAGTTTGCTTGCTTTGAAAATTTTCTCCCAAGAAAGGCTATCAAAATGATGGCAATATTTCCAGGCTAGGTAGCAAAGGTCTACTTAAAACTTTCTTAACCACTAATGCTATTAAAGGAATGGTGGCCATGGTGGGAAAGACGGAATTTGCAGGCAAGGAGCAGAGGAGACAGCAGCAGCCACTAAAATAAACATCTTTTATAATTTAAATATTTAATATTTAGGTATACAGGGACTTCCTGTACATAGACAGCAACAACAACAACAAAAATCTCTTGACATTATAAGAAATATTATACCAAATTTAATGATTACCAACAAAAGTTTTCCTTGCTTGGTTCATTGCACAGATGTTATTGGTAGATCAAAGCTAACCTTAATTGTTGACTCTGTCCAAAAAACAAACTTGTTAATGCCTCACATATTTCTCAAAAGAAATGTGCAGATCCAACAAATGTGATGGTTACATGAGATAAAATAATAAACAACATGAAATACTACAGAAAACGGAACAGGGAACACATTAATTGAAGGAATGCACCTGTCTCACTTTAAACAGCCAGGCCAGCAGCCCCGTCCGTACCTGTACAAAAACTTTCTGGAGTAGTCCACGACGTTCTGCTAGAGGTAGCTCGTTCTGTGCACCTCCAACTGCCTCAGGCACATGTGGAAGGTCAAAGAACAGATATAAACATTTAACCAGGGTGGAAGGCACTGACATCGTTGTCATGCAGTCCACGGTTTTCTGGAAAACAAATCAAACAAGAAATGAATAGGTAAATAAGCAAAAAAGACATCACTGCAATTGGTACAGCTAAGTAAGGTTACAAATTTTAAGCTAGAAGCTAGATCATTAAATCCAAATGCTCAAGCAGAAAACGATATATAAAAATAAGTTTTTAAATAGCTGAAAAAATTAAAAATGAATGTGTGCTGACAAATACTTATCTCTTGAGATGTGTTTATTTGTTATTATTAAAGTATCAAGTAAGTTTGCTCTTTATTAAGGGGTAGTATGTTTCAAATAATATAAGCTCTGGTATTTAGAAAAAGGAAATTAACTATGAATCTGGCAACCTAATTTTGCTGGACCTCACTTTCCTCTCCTATAAAATGATTAAAATGGTACATACTTCTTAGGATTAATAGGATTATGTAAGATAACAAATGCATAGACATCTTAAGTACTAAATTATATATTAGTAGTTGCTTTACTATCACTGTAATGTTATTGTTATTGTAGATTCTGGGGGCTGGAAGAACATTTGAAGAATATAGCCATCACACAAAATACAATCTCTGTATTCTTTTCAAGGATTTCTAGGGAAAGAAATTCCAGGCTTTCTCACAGTAAACATTTCAGTATTTTAAAGAAGTATGCTATAATAATTACCAAAAATTTTCCATGGTGCAGTTTTGAATAAAAAGGTTAGCCATGCTGGAGGTGAGCATTTACTGAAGGCCTAGGGTATGTCAGGCACTGTGCTAGGGGATGGGCATGTGCCCCTCACCTTCAGAAGACCCCGGTCTACCAGCAGAAGTAGGCTCATCAGTAACTGATTTATCTCCTAAGTGCCACAGTGGGAGGACATACTGGCTAATATACAATAAAAGGGAAGCATCAACACTGCCAGGAATGGAATAAAAAGTGTAGGAATTAAAATCTGAGGGGAAAGATCACTTGGAAGATACAAAGAAGATTAGGTCACACAGTACAATATGTTTCAGGAACCTGAATCCAAAACTGCTGACTCTTCAAAAGCCACAATAATAATGTCTAATTTTTAATAAGTGTTTATTAAACTGTTATTAACAGGCACAGGCTGAGTACTTTAAACTATTATCTCACCTACTCCTCACAATATCCGGATGAGGAAGATTCCATTACTGCCTGATGCCTACCTTACAAGGGAAGGAATCACTTACACACCCTGCCTCAGCTTAAGTGGTCCACACTGTACCAGTATATGTTAAATGACTTATGCACAGTCTCCCATTCCAGTTTGATTTTTATTTTGTAGGCACTGGAGACTCAATGAAGTGTTACAAATAATGAAGTAATAGAACCAGATTTCAGAGATTAAGTGGGTGGAAATGTAGAGCATAAGTAAGATTACAGAGCAGGAAGGCCAGGTAAATTATTAGGAAACAGATACAGAAAACCCTATGAGATGGGACTGAACTAATGCAGCAGCAAGATGGAGGAGAGAGGGAGCCTAAAGAATCTTCATTGCAAGATCCGGCATATTTACAGACCCAGTACCATTTCCTACCTCTAATATTCAAAACCTCCCTCCTTTCCTACCTAAACTTATACTTCAGATGTCTCGTATCTCCATACATCTAACGTTCAGTTTAAATACTTTTTTGTGTCTGAAACTGTCATTAACTTCTCATCTTTCCTCCTATCCTCACTTATAAGATGTATAAGGCTCATAATTCTATTTTCATAGCACTGCATACATCCACCACTGCATTAGCTTCGTCCACTTCATTTGTCACCTACATATTGATTCAGAATCATGTTTTAGTCATCTCTGCATTTCATTGTTGCCAACAGAAAATGGCACACAAACAAAAAAGTCTAAAACACAACACAAATGTTTTTAAAATGTCTTTTCCCAACTGGACTATTGGTAGCTTTCTCTTTCTGTTAAGCAGAAATATATCTTTCATTTTCATGTTATAAAAGGCAGATTAAAAGTACAAGATGGTATCCAAACTGGTAATTGGCAACTTCTGTAATTTTAGAAAAGTGATCAGATTTCTCTCCTGATTCTTTTCTCATATTTTTAAGACAATTTATCAATTTTTGCATGTTTCAGTTAATCACACTATGTGCTAGGTATTAGGTAGGACATAGTTTCTGTCACAACTGAGAAAGAAAAATACAGCATCAATAGAAAATATGAATAAAACAGAAATATGGCAAATAAAATCATTATTTTACCTTTTATCCTAAACCAAATCAAGTTTCAGTACAGTAATGTAGAGGCATTTATAACTACCATCAACAGCCAATAAAATTGGTATTTTGATAGTCATCTGGTGTGGTCTCAGACACCTGAGTCCACTTTAGGGCTATCTGAAAGTTACTTAGGGGGAATAAACTTCTCCACTGAAGGGTTTCTTGGGAAGCGAGGCTTCTCTGCTTAGAAGTACCAGGTAAACCAGGACAAGTTAGTCTGATCCCTTTTCTGATTGAAACACACACACACACACACACACACACACACACACACACACACACACAAAGGAAACAATCCATTCCAAAAGGGAAAATGTCCAAATGCTACTTACTCTGATCTACTGACTAGTTTCAGGGTATGATTACTAAGAACTAGCATCATTTGTGTTATTAAGTAATGTGAGGTGTTTAAAAGCCCAATGTAATGTAGACAAGAGTCATTCTCAGAGTTGGTACTGACTTTGACAGGTACTGACTCTGGACTGTAGAAAGTTGAATAAATTTACTTCATCCTCAAAATATCACAGGCCTAAAATCAGGTACAAATGAGCAGACATATCACGACAGATGCTGATACAGTTGACTTAGAGGGGAAAAACCAATCTCCAAAATAAATCAAGCGATAAGGGAATATATATATTTTCAGCAATGGTAGTTATTTTCATATTTTCCTTAAAAATTTGAAAAATTTAAAAGTATTTTCCAGGTCACTAATTAGCTAAGTGCCCTTAGCTGAACCTTAAATGATTCACCTAAGCCAGAGTTTCCCTAATGTGGGTAAAAGAATTCCTGAGCTGGGCTGATGAAGTCAGAGCTCCTGGGCTAGTCACCTCCAGCCACAGTGGTCCTTCCTGCCCAGGGTGCTGTGGAAACCGTATGACACTCTGTGTGTGTTGACGTGACAAAGATGAAAACCACTATTCCAAGTTAGGCATTTCCTCATGTGTAAAATGCATAAAACATAAACCTCCTCATCTGGATGTTGTCAGAAGCATGAAATAATGTATCATAAGAACTAGAAGAATATCATCATTATCATAAAAGCTTATTCAGATATGACAATAAGTTTAATTTTACAAATCCCGAGAGGATAAAAAAAAAAAAAAGAGGTTGACGTATCAAACATGAAAACAAAGAACTCACCTGACCAGAGGATGCTAACAAGTTAATTGTTGTCAGAAGCATCCAGCCTCTACTGGCTTCTTCACTCTGATTGATTTCTAGGAACTGGACGATAGCCCGACTTGCAGCCTCTATAAAAGCAAAGGAAAAGGCAAGTTATAAGGTGGAGGGGAGGAGGAGAATCTCATATAAAGAGGTTCTTCCTTAAAACCTGCAAAGAAATGATCACTTACTAAGCACGCACTTTGTACCAGCATTATTACATGCTCTATGTAAACACATTAAAGAGGAATGTTTTCATGGCACACATAGTATGTCATCCTTTGGAAATGTAAAAGTCAGCCTACCTATTTTAGGGGAAGGTATGTCACAAGTCAGAATGAGCCGCCGTGGAAGAGGTAAAGGGTGAATTAAGCCTGCCTGGAAAACAAGTATAGGTATCCTCTACTTTTCAAAGTTCACACTGGGCTGCTTCACTTTTACCAAAGACCTGCATTAGTCTCTATTTTTGCTAACTACAACAAATCAGAAAATGATTTTTACTTTTACAAAAAAAGGTGAAAAGTGAAAATTCAGCACTTGTATTGCAGTGAGCTGTTCTAGAGGCAGTGCACCAGGCACAGTGAGAGTGACCCTGCTAACTCTTTCCCTGAGAATGACATCCCAGCATCCAACCCACAGCTTTGATCTATGTGAGCATCTGCACTTTATCTTGATTTATTTTGGGCATCCATTAGCAAGATGTGTCTATGGTAATGGAGAAGCCTAAGAGAGCTCGTAAGTTTAGCATAAAATTGGACACAATTAAGCATTTCGATCATGAGGGAGAAAATACATTATAAGTGTGTTGAACTTCATGCAGCCAATATTCATACTATTTAACATGCGCAAAGAATCTTGGAAGCTAGAATCTTAGTTGTGCAAGTAGCAAAGTGGTCTCTTTTAGGGAACATCCAGTAATGAATAAAATTGAAATTCTGCTGCTTGAGGGGATTGTTGGGAATATAAAGCATGGTGTATATTTATCATTATCATTCCTGCTTTAACGATATGTTAGTGTTATTTTAGGTTTTATGTGTGATTTGATATGATCTGAAAGGTTATTTTTGAAATCTGGGAATGACCAATATTTTTCCATATAAATTAAAGGTAAGTATTTCTTCAAATTATGCCATTTCAGCTTACAAAAGGTTTCATAGGCAAGTTCTGCTTTTGGATAACAGGGAAACCTGCGTAGGTTTGTCTAAAGTAGGGGTGTCGAACTCAATCAGAGAAGGGGCCAAAATCTAAAATCCAGCCTAAATCTCGGGCCGAATGGTTTACTGAACAGTCATAAACTGTCATTGTGATGGAAACGCAGCGGAGTGCAGTGATGACAGCGCGGTGCGGGCCACATTGCAAGGCCTGGCGGGACGGATTTGGCCCGCGGGCCTTGTGTTTGACACACATGGTCTAAAGAGTGGGGGCCAGTGGGAATGAAACCTAGCAATTAGGAACAGAAATAAAAGTGTTAGCTAGAGGAAAGAGCGTAACATGTACTGATCAAGACAAAGAAATGTAATAATACTGGGTTAACATTCTAGAAGAGCATATTTTGAGAATTAGATTAGAAGAAAGTCAACAGTAGTGATAGGAAACTGATGCCTTTTTACAGCTAAGGGCTGTTATTTGACTCTTTAGGCAAGAGGGAGCAAATAGTTTCTGGAACAAGTGAGGTACTAAAAGGATTATTCTAAAACTATTAACTTTAGTAGTAATGTATATGACAAACTGGGAAGGCAGAGACCTCTGGGGGGAACAGATTAGGAAGTTGCCTTCATAATACACATAAGTGATGACTTGAGCAGCTGAAAAAAGGAAAGAGAAACGGGGAGAGTCATTCACAAAACTGTGATGTTGCAAGAATCTTTGAAAGTTAATTTAGCTGATTTTTTTTTTTTTGAGATAAGAAGAAATGGATAAATCCTTAACCATATACTTAATTTCATCAGCAGAGAGTTCATCAATTTTCATATGGATAAACAAGATGAACGTTAACTACTTGTAGATTGAACTCATTTAATTGTTACAAGAACTATATGAGCTACTTTCTATTATAATACCCCTTATGACAGAAATTAAGAAATGGAGAAGTTAAGTAACTTGCCTAAAGTCACATTGCTAGCCAGTGACAGAACTTACATTCAAGTCCAGACTGTGGGAGACAAAAGATAGTGATTTAAAAATAATAATAATTGGAAAAGAGGAAAGCCAAAAGATGACTGGGTTATTATTATTTAATATATCAAAAGTGTTAAAGTTATTATTTTCACATGTTCACTGATTTACAACCTCTCACCCGTTCTAAAGACTAGACAGAAGGTGAGAAATCTCCTTGCCTACCTTGTTCACTGTGAGTCCTCAGTGCTAAGCACGTGACTGCCCAAAATGGGGCTTCAATCATTATCTGTCAAATGGATGGATAAACCAACCCAGGTTGATTAAAGAAGGACACACTGAGTTCAACCGGTGATGAAAATTAGGAGGTATGGACTTACTAGGAGTAAGAGAAATTCCTACAAGTTTTGAAAAGGGGAGTCATAGAGAGAAAGCAATGTTTAAGGCTGATTAAATTGTGAAGGTTCATTAGAGAGGGAGAAAATAAAACAGTACCACCGAAAAACCTTTATTAACAATCATGGTTTGAGATGATTGGTAAAAGGTGACCTGCAAATTTTTCCTGCAAGCTTACAATGGACCCCGCCAATTGTTGTTTCTCTTTGATGTTTCTATCCCTCTCCTTCTAAAATAAATTAAAAAATTAAAAACAAACAAATACAAAACATCAAAAATGTACTCTTGGCTTAAAAAAATTCTATTTGATTAATCGCATTTATAGGAATGTATACTTTCTTCTATTTGGGTTGACAATGAACATAAAGGTATTCTTTAAAATAAGAAAAGACAAATAATAAAATAAAAATCCCCACAATGTTCTATTTGTTATTAACCATTACAACAGTTCAATAGATTGCTGAACTGATTAAATAAGGTAATACCTGTGGGGGAAAAACCTTGAAAAGGATCAAAACAGTATAATTATTAATAATATCCCTTTAACAACTTTACCAACTGAAGCACCCTTTTTGATAAAGTGAAGAAGACCTATGTTACATCAGGAATATTGTAAAATTGTATTTTTTGGCTTTGAATTATATGCTTATACAAAGAAGTCTATATGTAACAAAAGTACTTGAAAACATTTTATTTTCACCTGCTCTTTTAAGTACTGCCATTCAAAACACCTTTAAAACATTTGAAATAAAAACACTCCTACTAAAAAAAAAATTGCATTGGAATCTTTTAATTTCACTTATATGTAACAAAAACAAATTTAAATGATGGTTTAATCAAGGTTGTAAGAGTTAATGAAAAAAAACATTATCTCATATTGCAAGGTGCCAATCATTTGATTCAAGCTTTAGCTTTCACACTGCATTCCAATACATATCGTTAAATTCAAAAAGACAGAAATCAAGTTAGTAGAATTCATTATTAGATTAAATAATGAATAGAATGATAGACAATTGTAAAACAAATTTAAGTTCCTAGTCTATATTGAGAGAATATAAGTGAATTCAATTAGCATTCAGAACAATCAGAACAAAACTTGTTAATAATAAATGCAATACAATTTTTCCTTTGCAAAGTCCTTTTTTTCCAAAGTCCATTTAAAGTGTAGCCATTTTCAAACTTATGCTTCAGAATGACAATGTGAGACATGCCAACAGTATTATTATACTTGTTTCAGTAAAGAAGAAACCAAACCCTCAACAACCCTTCCCATCTGCCTCCTGACCACCCCCCCCCCAAAAAAAAATAATAATAAATAAATAAATAAATAAATAAATAAAACCTTTCATAAGTTAGTCAGAAAAACAGTATTAGAATTCATGACTTCCATGCTTCTTTTCATTTGATGATACATAATCACACCTTGGGAATAAAATTACCTGAAGGTGTTGTGGCTTTGAAATCCACGGAGGACAGCGTGGCACAATGATTTTCTGTTTGAAGAAAAAGGCTGGGTTGTCTAACTGGGGATTCACTACATTTACACAAGCTGCTGCATTGATGCCAACTGTAGTCGGCATCACTGGGTTTCTCCACCACTTGGCTGCTGCCCATTTCAGGTTGCACCACTGGGTTTAACAGTGGCATCTGACATGCATCAAAGTCATTATTCACAAACTAAAGCTATTTTTTTTTCACAGGTGAGAATTTTCTGCTTTAATGATGAAAACTGATTATATTGCCTTAGAATTAAAATTAAGCAGACTGCATGTTGGAACTTAACTATACAAGGTGAGGAAAATAGCTTAGGCTACAGCTTGTAAACAATACAGCCACAAAATTATGTATTTTCTCTAATTAATTGAGAGTCATTACATATTTTTTAACAAAAGCCACAGAGAGTCAACAATAACGAAAGAATTAAAAGAGACAGACAACTAGAACTGTGAAGGTTCCTTGTATATTAGAAATCAGTCCATGTATAATGTTTTATATATTGATATTACCAAAACATTTCCATTCTTATTAACTCTGATAGATTTAAATTGCAGATAAGCATGGTTCCTACTGAGATATCTATAATCCATGTCAAAGAAAATCTGATAGAGACTTGATATGTAAGTACTAGGTAGATAACAAACAAAATAACCAGTATTGCACACCAAATTCGGAGGAGTCCTGGAAAAATAATATGACAAATATAGCTATTTTTCATAAAAATAATAGAGGGCTCATTACACCTGTTGTTGTTGGGGTTTTTTGGAGAAAAATTATATGCATACTGACCAAAATAATTACTGTCAATGATAATTTCCTGTAAAATAAAAGGTTATGTTAAATAAGAGGTATCAAAAGTAGTCAAATTCATAGAAGCAGAAAGCAGAATGGTGATTGCCAAGAGCTGGGAGGAAAAGGAAATGAGGAGTTGCTGATTGATGGGTATAAAGTTACAGTTATACAGGATGAAAAAGTTCTGGAGATCTACTATACAACACTGGGCTTTATAGGGAACTGTACACTTAAAAATTTATTAAGAGGGCAGATATAGTTATGTGTCTTTTATCACAATAAAAATTATTCGATCAATCAGAAAATATAGATGGGGTAAAAAGAGTAAGATGATTCAGGATGCACTTAGATCTTGAAAGTACAGAATTATTTCAGTACAAAAGATTTAAAAAAATCTCCATGAAAGTATTTCTAATAACAGCACTGACCAGAAGAAACTTCCAATGTTCAAGACTAAAACTAAAGGAACCAGGATTCCCAAAGTTAGGGTTCATTAAGGCAGACTGAGGAGACATTCCAAAATTATGCCTTTCTTTCTTAAACATCAGTAAGGCTGGCTTTTCTAAAACTGTTCCAATTCTCAAAGTAGTAAAAAAAAAAAAAAAGAGAGAGAGAGAGAGAGAGACAGAGAGAGAGAGACAGAGAGAGACAGAGAGAGACAGAGAGAGACAGAGAGAGAGAGAGAGAAGTGTGGGAAGAAACCTATGTCAAAGTCAGTAAACATATAATGAGCACCTAATCTGTGACAAGCATTCTTCTAGGTCAATGGTCGGCAAACTCATTAGTCAACAGAGCCAAATATCAATAGTACAACGATTGAAATTTCTTTTGAGAGCCAAAAATTGACTTCTGAGCATGTGCCATGAAGTTTCAATCGCACTGTACTTGCGCGCCTGCATGTGGTATTTTGTGGAAGAGCCACACTCAAGGCACCAAAGAGTCGCATGTGGCTCACGAGCCACAGTTTGCCGACCACTGTTCTAGGTCAGCAATTTCTAACAAGTGTGCCTCAAGTATTTTTAAAGCATGCAATATCTGACTATTTAGGCAGGGGCACTGACCTCTTTTCCCTTAGATTGTCAAATTAAAAAAAAAAATGACATCAGCCAATACATAGCTGTCCAATGTGAATGAATAAAAATTATGCTTTATTATTTGTCAGATTGGCAAAAATTGTGATAAATTTTTTGGTGTGCCAAAAAATTGTAAAAATTACTTTGTGTTCCATGAGATGAAAAAGGTTGAAAATCGTTGTTCTAAGTGATACAGAAATGAATACAACAGACAATATAATTAAAGAAATAGATAAACAAGATGCTTTAAATGACCATAAAGCTATAAAGGAAGTATTTAAGGTGATTACAAATACAAGTATATTAACTGGTGTGGGATAGATGAGAAAATATCTATTTGAAATAGGGTGATTAAGAAAGGTTTTTCTTATTCAGGTAAAATTTACACAAATTTAACTGAATCTCACTATATTCTGAAGTTAGTAAATTTCAAAAGTTTAAAACTAAAAATTACATGGAAGTACATAATAAGAAAAAATATATCTTAAAAATAGCTGGGAAATTGCCGAGACCGGTTTGGCTCAATGGATAGAGCATCGGCTTGGGGACTGAAGGGTCCTGGGTTCGATTCCGGTCAAGGGCATGTACCTTGGTTGCGGGCATATCCCCAGTAGGGGGTATGCAAGAGGCAGCTGATCGATGACTCTCTCTCATCGATGTTTCTAACTCTCTATCTCTCTCCCTTCCTCTCTGTACAAAATCAATAAAATATATATTTTTTTAAAATAGCTGGGAAATAAGATGTCATCAGTGGAGAAAGGAGGATGAAGGGCACAGGGGGCTCTATGTACTATGTCTATAACTTCCTGTTATCCTATAATTACTTCAAAATGTAAAGTTTAAAAACATTTGTATAGTATTACTGTACATAGCTACTTTACTTACGATAACTTTCATTATTTCTCAAAAATTGCCCTATGGAAATAAAATCATAAAGCAATTTAGGAAAACAAATCTCTAATATAGAAAAAAAATTTATACAAACATGCTGATTAGGTATATACAAAGACAGCAATAGAGAAGCAAGAAAATTAAGTTTTGGGAAATTTTTTTCTAATCTAGGAATAAATATTGTTCAAGAAAGAAAATGCAACGACAGGAGTCAATTAATGACAGAGAAATTCCCTTATTTATAGTAGCTAAATAGGTATAAAATGCACATAAATCTTAAGTTTAAGACCAACTTCTTACTTGTACAGGGATAACTGAAATCAGGACAGATAACAAAGGATGCAATCCAACTTGGGGAGAAGAAGGGAGAAGACGGGCAGGAAAGTTACCTGAAACTACCTTACTATCTTTCATTGAATTTGCTTCAAGGACTGCAAATATAACTAAAACTGCCTCACTTTAAAACTCATATGTCAATCCATATAATGTAATGCTTCTGAATAAGGGATTTTGTCCTCAGTCTAAAAATATTTAATGGCTACTGCTCCAAAACTTCATAATGGGCTCCAGTGAATGATGAAAGATCGAGCACAAAGATTTATCTCTTCTCTCTCCTGAAACCCCCCTCCTATGGCCTGAAATATGCCCCTCCTGGACTTCGTATGTTGAAGCCCTAACTCCTAATGTATTGGTATTGGGTGATGGCACCTTTGGTAGGCAATTAGCTTTAGGTGAGGCCATGAGGGTGGGTCCCTCGTGATGGGATTAATGTCCTTAAAAAGAAAAGTGGCCAGAGCTCTCTCTTCTCTCCTCCTGGTGAGATTACATTGAGTATGTGCCATCTGCAAGCCAGGAAGAGAGATTTCACCAGAAACCAATCATGCTGAAGCTGTGATCTTTGACTTTCAGCCTCCAGAACAGTAAAAAAAAAAAATATGTTTTCTGTTGTTTAAGCCACTGGTCTATTGCATTTTATTATGGCAGCTTTAGCAGAGTAAGTCATACAACTAAAATGGTTGTGAAAGTATTTTTTAAAATTGTAAACCCATAAGGACAAAGAGAATAGGAAAGATGACAGCAACATCTTGGATACTAAAATAGCACAAAAGTTAGTGGTAATTGATTTAGTAAATTCTACATTTTAAAGTAAATGCAAAACAAGCAACTAAACTACAATAGAACCAAGAGGCTCAGGAACTGGTAGCACTAGGGGCCTCTGAAAGCAGAGATAGTGGAAACTGTACACTAAAGGGTTGGGAAAATACTTTTAAGAGCAGCTAGGCACACAATGCAATATACAAATCCTGTATCATAGAAATGTACACTTGCAAACTATATGACACCCTTGACTAGTATCACCCAATATATTTAATTTTAAAAAACATGTGATTCTTATAGACTGTCACTGAGAATGAATAAATAAGTTAAAAAACAAACAAACAAACAAAAAAAACCCACCTGGATCCCAGATCCCCACTACAAAGTGGGCACTAGACTGTAGGTTTACTCAATGCAGAGTAAGAGCAGTGTTTAGATTGGGCCTGGGGTGGGGGTGGGGTGGGGGGATGATGATACCACACCAGGCACACCTATGGGCTCTTGGAGACAAAGAACTGAAACTCAGGTACTGAATGCTGAATGCTGAAGGCCCTCATACCTTTCCCCTACTTGGCTTCCAACAAGTTCAGAGTCAGACATATACGGTTTAGGTAAGACTAGATATTCTTTTCTGGGGACTCTGTCTAGCCAGGGAAAGATGGTCAACAAAATGGCCCAGCAAGATCACCCTGGGCTAATGTCCAGAGTTGCAAGCTCCACTCACAATTACAAAGCTACCCAGCAGCTTTCTATCCATTCTTGTACAGGAACAGATGGCCAAGGATGAGATATGTGAGGACATATTCCAACATAACAGACAGAAAAATTAACAAAAAAGGGCAACCTTAAAACAACAAAACAAAAAAAGAATATGTAGGGAGAGTAAATAAAATCTGAAAAGAAAAACAAAACCTCAGATAGCTAAGAGAAGAAAATCCATTAAAAAAAAACAATAAAAAAAAAAACTTATAATTTAAATTACAATGTCACAAATAAAAACCTCCAAGGAAGGGATAGATTGTAAAACTAAAGAGCTCTCATAGCAAATAGAGTAAAAAAAAAAAACAACAAAGAAAGTCAAGAGATAAAGATAAGAGAGCCTGGTGGGGTGGCTCAGTGGTTGAGCATCCACCTATGAACCAGGAGGTCATAGTTCAATTCTAGGTCATGGCACAAGACATGCCAGGGTTGCAGGCTTGATCCCCAGTGTGCGGCATGCAGGAAGGAAGCAGCTGATCAATTGTTCTCTCTCATCATAGTTGTTTTAATCGCTTTCTCTCCCTCTCCCTTCTCTGAAATCAATAAAAATATATATTAAAAAAAACAGAAAATGAGAACAAGAGAGAGAGAGTGTGTGTGTGTCTTAGGGGTATACTTGATTAGAAAGAGAAAATAGAAGGAAGGATATTATTATATAAACAAATCATGAAACTTTCCCAAAATTAAAGGAAATGTATTCCCAGATTTATTAATAAGGGTTCGATAAGTAATCAGCATAATGGATAAATATAGATCTACTCCAAAGCATGTTATAATAATCATGTGTCTAGGAAGCCATAGATTTCCCAATAGCAGTTTAGAAATGTAGAATATGATGAAATCATTTTTAAATTCTGAGTGGAAAAAATGTTTTTCAACTGAGAATCTGATATTTACTGAAAGGAGGATAGATACATAATGCAAACTGCAAGATTCCCAATATGACCCTGGTGCCTTACCCTGGCTGCCTGGAGAAGGACCTAGCTAAAATCCCTTCACTGACCCTGTCCCCAGAGATGCTGCCCCCAGGCTCAACTTCCCATGACACTGGTAGCTTCCTCCCTCTGGTAGGAGGGCCTGTAACTTCACTGGCTCCAAAGTTCTCCGGGGGTAAACAGCTACTATTCTCAAACACTCCTATAAGCATCCAACAGCACTCAAAGAGACAAGATCACAAGCAGCCTGTATGTTTCTTTGCTAATAAGACTGCATTCACGTTTGTACTTTAGGCCTGGGGGTAAGGGGATTGGTGGGAACCTCCCAAGCATTGTTCTGTGATATAATGAGGGTGGTGGTGGACCTGTGCCTCCTTCTTGTTGACCCTGGTTTCTCATGTGTACCCTTTCCACAACAAAGCCACCATTATATGACCTGATGGGATTGGTACTGAGCCCTGGTACCTGAAAAAGCCATCAGCCTAAGGCATCAACACCTTCCCTAGTGAAGAGAAAAGAACACATCCAGCACAGTCAAAGAAATTTTCACTCATGGGGATTTCTTTAAAAACAAACAAAGAAAAACAACAACCTCAAAACCAAAAATAATTCCCCTGCATCCTTTCTCAGGAAGCTGCTATTTGAGAATAAAATGACACGAGACTCAGGAAACAGAAGCTCTATCTCACAGAGGTGGAAAGGCACCCAGGATGATGTGAGGGGAGAGGTGAAATGACAGCAGGGCAGCTGGCTGAAGAGCACCTACTACAGATTAAAGCAGGACAGACGGTTCTGGAAGAGGTATTTGCAAGAAGATGAAACTGACACAATATCTGATGTCGTCAATCATATTGAGAGAAGATTCAGAAACACGTGAATAGGAAGGAACGTGTAATAAAAATGTAGAAAACTAGTAAGGAAATAGTCAATTACTAACTCTGATGGAGGTGGGGGAGAAGTTTCCAAAAAAAGTAACCATAGTATACCCCATGGCTCAACTTAAAACAGTGTTTTTATAGTCACAATAATGAATACTGATCTAATAAAAATTATGACAGAGCGACATTGGAGAGGTATAGGAAGTAACTGTAAGAGTAATGGTAGTAAGCTTAAGAGCATAAAAGTCTCAATCTCTTGTGAAAAGTCAGAAGACAGGATCTAAATATAAAAAATCAAGGGCACATACTGTAAATGTTATTTGTTTAGAGATTCCGAGATAAATATTTTTTTTAAAAGTTAAAAGTGTTAAAAAACAATTGCCTCTCAAGAGTGAGAAATGGGGATGAATCAGGATAATGTAGAAGAGATACTGTTTTTAATAAATCTTTTAACCATTTGAATGTTATAACTATTATATGTGCTTACCGTATATTAACTTTAATAAAATATTTTTAAAAAATATTTTATAACAAAGGAATTAGTTACTGTTAAAAAAAATAATTCAATGGGCTCAAAAGAGAAATGATATCCCCAAAGAGATGTTAAAAACAGAAAGTCAATTTCTCAGTATAATGTTTCCATAAGAAGAAAGCTGTCAAACAATCATTAAAAAAAACCCACAAATAACAAAATTAAGATAAAATTTCTCTAACATAATGCTAACTTAGAAAATGATTTAAATTATTAATTGGTAGATAAAATTAAGAAAGCTTATTTTAATCTTAAGTAAAAAGAAAGATATTTTACAAAGTTTAAAATGACCTAACAACTATGAATAAGAATAGTATTCAGGCAGCATTCATAAAAGGTCTAGTGTACATAAAGCACTGGGGTAAATATTGTAGGTTACATAAATAGCTTACGATCTAATTCTATATAATAAAAGCCAAATGCAAATTTGCAAATTGTCCCCTCGACTGGAGTTCTGCTGGGAGTTCAATGGCTCGACCAGTTGCACACTGGGAAGCTGGAGACAGGAGGTCGCAGGAGGAGGGGCAAAGCAGGACCCACCAAGTTAGATAGAGGGAGGGAGACACCCCACAGGACTGGGGGCAGAGATGGGCAGGGAAGGAAGGCTGTTTGGAAGCACTGCCCTTGGATGAAGTAGAAATCCTGACCCCATTTTACAGACCTCAGTAGACTGTGTGTGGGGGGGAGTAGGGAGGGAGGCAGTGAAGACAAAAGAGGGTGTGAGGAGAATGGAGATGGATGGAGAGCAACGATGCTTGACTAATAGCCTATTTACTTTTATTTTTGTTGATATATTTTTATTAATTTTAGAGAGGAAGGCAGAGGGAGAGAGAGATAGAAACATCAATGGTGAGAGAGAATTGATCTGCTGCCTCCCACAAGCCCCCTACTGGGGATTGAGCCTGCAACCCAGGAACGTGCCCTTGACCAGAATCAAACCCAGGACCCTTCGCTCTATCTACTGAGCCAAACCATCTAGGAGACCCATGCCTATTTAAAACAGCTGCAGTAGGCTGAGCAGGGGTCTTACCATGGTGGTGTTACCTGATAACGAGGGTGTCTCTCCTTATATTGGGATAATCAGAACTGCAGTGAAGTAAAGACACACCATGGAGCCTGCAAAGGGTTTCCACGCACATGATGCAATTTACTTCGTGTGGTAGCTGAAGAGGGTGAGTAGAACCTTGGAAGGACATAAGGTGTCCAAAACAAGGAACTGGAGGGAAAGTGTGTGCTGAGCATTCCACGCCATATATATATATATGCCTATTATGCTAAGTGTTCAACCAACAAGTTGATTGACGGGTCGCTATGATGTGCATTGACCACCAGGAGGCAGATGCTTCAACCTGTAGGTTAGCTTGCTGCTAGGATCCAGCTAATAGGGACTGGGTGAGATGGGGCCTAAAATGCCCTAGAGCCCTTCCATGGTCCCTCCCAGACCACCATCCCTGATCGGCACTGGGTGAGATGGCCCTGATAGGCCCCAATCACTAGCCAAGCCAAGGAACCCCACCCAGGCACAAATTTCGTGCACCAGGCCTCTAGTAGAAAATAAAGACACATACCCAAATATCACTGACAAATTTGAGAAACAAAAAGTACTTCAGAAGAGAAAGTTTTTTCTTTGAGTAAGGGAAATAAGAAACATTCTATCAAAAAGGTGTGACTTAATCCAAAAAAGTTATGCCTTAATACATATGGCCCAATTCTGGGTTTGTCTTAAATGTCATGCTAAGAGTTTTGATTTTGTTCAGAAGAAAGAGTAAAGTTGAAAGAACACTGGTCCAAGGAAAGTAGCCTTCATAAAACTAAACTTAAAATTAGAAGATGTTGAAACCAAGAGAAGAAATGTGTCTGTAAGAATGTGAATGAGATGGGTAATTGAAATCCCTGTGCCTAGAAGGTCAATTTTCTATTTAATTTTAATAGTACTTTTACCAAAATGTCAATTCAAATAAGTCAGGCTTTGCTGGTTTCTGCAATAATACCTGTAGATTTGTTTGATGCTCTCCTTCGAATTTCTGTCACCATCAATCGTGAGACTTGTGTTGTGAACTGCAGAAGATCAGAAAATTTTTCTATCATTGTATTTGGTGGAGCATTTCCAAAGACCTGTAAATAAGAAAAAAACAATCTTAATAAAGCATTGTCAACTTTTTCCTTTTATTCTGTTCATTTCTATCTTAATAAAGCATTGTCAACTTTTTCCTTTTATTCTGTTCATTTCAAAGTGTGATGTGACTTGAAAATCAAGTAAAAAAAAAGTATGCTTAAACAGTTTCTTTGAATCTGAAAAACATGTTTAAAAATACTCTTTCAATAAATCACGTCTAGCCACATTTCCTTATACATATTCATTTGTTGAGTGCATGATTAAATAAATGAAATCTAAAAGCCAAAGACTAGTTATCTATATAATCTGAATCAATCTACTTAAGGAGCTTTAGAAGAAATAATGTTTCTCTGAAGAAATCTAAGTTAAGAATTTAGAGGACAGTGGTAAGGTTCTTGGATGGTTCACAGATACATCAGATGGTGAAAAGCAGAGACTTATTTAGTATTACTAAGTTCTAGGCTGAATACAGAATTCATTGACCTCCTCTCTTATCTCACAATTTCTGAATCTAACCACAATAATTATCAGAGCAAGACTATTAGTGAAAAGACCAGAATAAAGAGAATGAATGAGAGAGTCATGAATCTTGCCCATATCAGTATGTCCAAATCTTCCCACCTTGGATTAAGTCACACCTTTTTGATGGACTGCTTCTTCTTTCCATTATTCAAAGGGTAAAGCTTTTTCTTCTGAAGTACTTTTTGTTTCTCAACTCCATGAGTGGTATTTGGGTCACGATATGTATTTTATTTATTTATTTTTTACAAAAAACCTAAGACAAATGAATTTTGGAATAAATAGTTCTTAAAGATAAACTAGTATTCGTTCAGCAAGAGAATAAGAAAAGGAAGCCTGTGCCCTGGCTGGGTGGCTCAAGTGGCTGGAGCATCATCCCCTACATCAAAAAGATTGTGGGTTTACTTCCAGGTCAGAGCACATACCTAGGTTGTGAGTTCGACCAGGGTGCATCCTGGAAGCAACTGATCAATGTTTCTCTCCTATTGATCACTTCCTCCCCCCCACCCCCTCTCTTCCCCTCTTTTTCTAAAAACCAAATAAATAAACAAATAAATAAAAACATCCTCAGGTGAGGATTGAAAAAAAATTAAACTGGATGGACTGTCATAGGAAAAGAAATGGTACTATAATAGCTTTATAACTAGGTGTACCGTAAAATATTGTTTCAATAAATGTTCTTTATAACTAAAAGGAAAATTTGTGTCTTTTAAAAGTATGATAGTTCTCTATTGTAATATCAATTGCACAGTGTTTTGTATTCTTACTTGTTCATATATGCCTACAAAGGGAGGAAACCTACCTCACTCATCTTTGTACTACCTACCAAGCTACCATGATGCCTTTTATAAGGATGTTCCCTAAATATGATTGTTCATTTATATGCTTCTTGCCCCCAAAACCAAATTCTAGAGAATGTTTAGGTAGCACTGAAGGACACAAACTATAACATGAAAATATAAACTAAAAGTAAAGAAATAAAACAAAAATAAGCAAATAAAAGACCAAGACTAGGGAAGAGACTACAAAAGACATTAAATAAAAATCTAAGACAAAATATCTGTATATTTGCTATGTTTTAGTCATGAATTTGGCTTAAATACACAAAAGAGAAAATCCAGTCAGTTATATGGTTCACAATGCCCTTAGGAAAAGAAAAATATGTACTTAAGGAACTACCTCTATTCTTCATACTATAAAATTTTTCTTTCAAGGAACCTAATAAAAGGACATAACTTATAATGTAACTAGTGACCCAGTGCACAAAATTCGTGCACAGAGCGGGGAGGGGGAGTTCCCCTCAGCCCAGCCTGCACTCTCTCCAATCAGGGAACTCTTGGGAGATGTCTGACTGCCAGAGGAATCCACAGGGATTGAGCCTAAACCGGCAGGGAGATATCCCTCTCACAATCTGGGACCACTGGCTCCTAACTGCTCACCTGCCTGCCTTCCAGATTCCCCTAATTGTCTCTGCCTGCCTGATTGTCCCTAACTCCCCTGCCTGCCTGATCTCCCCTAACTGATCTCCCCTGCCAGCCTAATCTTGCCCCCAAATGCCCTCCCCTGCCAGCCTGGTTGCCCCTAACTGCTCTCTTCTGCCAGCCAACTTGGTTCTGATTGGTTGTTTTTATGCCAGTCAATGTCAAAAGCTCCACCTCCTGGGCAGCCATTGGCTCCTCACAGTTCACCCACATTTGGTTCTGATTGGTCAGTTTCTGTGCCAGTAAGTGTCAAAAGCTCTGCCTCTTAGGCAGCCATTGGCTCCTCGCAGTTCACCCAGATATTGGTTCTGATTGGTCAGTTTCTATGTCAGTCAGTGTGTCCGGGCTTATCTCCAGGGCTGATCAGCAGTCCCACAAAGGCCCAGAGAGAAACAGATGTGTGGCTGCTGGTGAAGCCTGGAGAGAAAGAGAGAGCCAAAGGCTGATCAACAGCTGCCACGGAGGCTGCAGACTAGACCCTGCCTCTCTGTTCGGAACTCTCTCTGGGCCTGATCTGCAGCCCCCTCAGCAGTCAGTGCTGGGTTGGGTGTTCAGTTGAGCCTTCGGTTGGTTGTTACAGACCCTAGGTTTTTACATATTAGGATATCCTTGGAATAGAAGCATCTCTTACATTCTTACAATAGATACTTTGTTTCTTATAACCTCTCTCAAATTGAACTGAAAGTACAAAATAAAAAGACACCAAATCACAAATCAAAAACACAATAATTCAATTCTACAGGCTATACTTTTGTTCAGGTTTATTAGTCTGTTCACTAACTTGACACAGGAGTAATTGTAAATTATCTCAAAGAACAAATAATAGTCTTTTTCAAATCTCAGTAAGTTGTTTTTCTTAAAAGATTTTGATAAATGTTGTATGTTTACAGTTAATCTGTGTGCTATCTGTTAAATAGGACCCACATTCTTTAACACACAAATAGCAGGTACACTAGAAATTGAGAAGCTAAACAATGACACATGCTTGAATATCCATTTTTACTTCAATTCAGAGATGAGTATGTAACTGTTTAATAAAAGTATTTATAAAACAATTGTACATTTTGTTCAGGCAATTATTTGGCCTTTTGTCAAACTGATTTATATATAAAGTAGGTAGACATTTCCATTACCAAGAATATATTTATGTTTATTTTGCTTCTAAGAATTAATCTCTATTTTGTTCCTAAGGATTATTAAGACAACTTCATAAAATAAATAGATCATGTCTTAGGAGATATAAAGATATGGTTTATCTAAGCAGTCTTCATGCTGGGTGAATAATATGCTGTTAAAAAACTACGTCCTATTTGCTAATCTATAATGACATAAACAACTGTTACTCTAGTGATTTAACACTTCTGATTCATTCTATCATTTATTCAGTCTTAAATATTTATCAATCTCCTAAATATATCAGGCAATATTTGGAGTTATGAATGCAAAGGTAAATAAAGAGTTGTGAATACCAGGGTAAAAAAAACAAATATGATTCTTGTGCTCATGGACTTCACATTTTAGTACAGGAGACAAATATTAAGCAAGTTAATTTAAAAATAAAAATTTTTAAATTAGATAGTGGTGCATGATAAAGGAAGTAGAAAGGTAACAGAAAGGGACTGCCTAGAGAGGCGAGAAGTTATCAGAAAAGGCCTCTCTGAGTGGCACTTATTCGATATATGAAGGATGACACTGAATGCAGACAGAGCCACAATTCAAAGGCTGTGAAGAGAGAGCTCTGGGCAGGGAGAAGAGTTTTGCTGAGACCTCAGAGTGGACATTAGGGTGGGCTGTGGCGTTAAAAGGCTGGTGAGGCTGGAATGTTTTGAATGAGAGGAGAAATGGTACAAGATAAGGCTGGACAGATACAGGGACTAAAACATAAATCTGACACTTTAGATAATACTAAATATATAAGGTAGCAAAGGAAAGAGAATTTTTGTGATTGATTTCAATAATTAAACCTAAAAATATTAGGTATGTATGTACCCTTCCACAAATAGTGGCATTTAAAAAAATATACAGTGCTTCAATCATGTACTTAAATGTGTGTCACAAAGGGTGGAACTGAACTGATAGTCAGGAGGCTTGACTTCTCCTTGGTCTCAGTGATTACTGGTCAAATTTTTGTGGTTCCTTCATCTGTCAAGGGAGAGTTGAGCAAGAGATTGGTAGGTAATGTATTCAACTCAGAAAGGATGATTCCAAAGAGTTATGTGATGTTCACAACACAGATGAAAATAAAAACAGCAGTAAGGAACAGAAATGCAATAAAAATAATTATCATATGCCTTGGCCTGTGTTACTCAGTGGTGAGAGTGTCCTGAGGGCCCACGCACCTGAGGGGCTTCAAGTTCAAACCCCAGCACTAGTTGGGGAGCATGTGGAAGGCAACCAATCGGATGTGTCTCTTTCATATTGATGTTTCTCTTTCTCTTTATCTCTCGTTCCTCTTCCCTCCTTCCCTTCCACTCTCTCTAAAAAAAGAAAATCAAAGGGAAAAAATACTAATATCCTCAGGTGAGGATTGAATAATAATAATTATGATTGTTATTACCATTAAATGATTATTTACCATGTGCCTAGCAGTATTCAAATACTTGACATGTAATGTCATTTAAATCTCAGAAAATCTTATACAGGATCCCCATTTCCCAGAGAAGAAAAAGCAAGGGTCAGAGAAGTTAAATGAGGTAAGCCAGGTGGTTGGTGGTGAAGCCAGATTTAAAACTAGTCTGTCTGATTCTAAGCCGTGTTCTTAATCACTCAGTACCATATTTGTCTCAATTAAACTTCATGTGAACCCTTTCACTTTGCAATGCCCATCTTAAGGGGAGAATAGCATGGTTCGACTTATTTTTAGAAGGATCAATTTTTAATATCCATCTACATAAATTTCAGAAAATTTCCTCAGACCTCAACTAAACATTTCTGGCATAGTCGGGAAGAACAAATTTAATGGTGTTATCAAATGGCATGCATAAAGTAGAAGCTCAATA